GTTCTTATTCCAGTGTGGGGTGTGTGTGGGGGCTTTCTAAGTTTCTAAGCAGTGTTCTAAGAAGGCAACTGTTCCTGGGGTTAGCCCAGCCCAGGGACATTGCTAGGGCGGTTCCCAGGCCTCCCTAAATTTCTGGGGAGCCCATCCCTAAACCCCACATGGGTCCACCTCCATAGATAATGACCATGCCTGTGATGTCACTAGATCCTCCCTATGATGTCATTGGGTCCCAGTTCTTTTAATGACTTAGCAATGCCTCTGGCCCAGCCCCAGCCCCCCCCGGAAAATTGGAAAGTCTACGCCCTTGAACAGAGCCAATCAGGAGACAGGAAGGAGACTGATAATAGTAGGAAGTCCCGAATCTCACTATGATAACTAGTTGTCCCCTCTGCTGCCCCCTGCAGGATGTTCTTGTCATTTTCTTTATCTGTGCATGATAGACCTTGCATATTCCAATAGTTTTGATCCCCCGTGTTTTGTTTTAGATTTTTCTATACACCTGAAGCTTTTCCAGGTTTGTAGAAAGATCTTCATTGTCTATTCATGACTCCAGTCTCCAGAGTTAAGTATCCACAGATTTCATAACATTGAAAATTAGATATAGTGATGATTGCTGGGACATTTAGATTCCATGATGGCATACTGTGAGTAATTTAAATGACAACAGTCATAGTTACAAATGAAAAGATACTTCTGTCTCCATCTGAATGGGTGGTTAGCTGGTTGTGTAAATTCACATGGTTGTAAACTGCGAGGAGGGTCAGTCCCTGACACCATTTCATTCAAAAGATTGTTATGAAACAAGCTGCAATCTCCTCACCTTTTCTGAATTAAATTAGTTAATTAATGGGAAATTTTATGAAACAAAGAACAAAATAGTATATCACAAAATTACTCTACCTTCCTAATACATTTCTTTCTTGTTCTTCTTGAGTAACATGCTTAATTTTGCTTTCATTTATTCCTTCCTATTAAAATCTTTCAATGTGTGTAATTGTGCTTGACTTCATTGTCATTATGGAATTATCACTGACTGGAACTCAGCTTTGCAGTGGTCTGAATGAACCACTGCAAATGTTGTTCGGCTGCTCTAAATGTTCTAGCTCACTCAAGCTTATGCACCAGATGTTTCCTCAAGTTTTATTAAAGTTGTTATTGGAAATGTAGCAGGGGATAAAATTCTATAAAGCTTGTTATTTCTGTGTCCTTGGGGGAAAAAAGGCTTCTGGAATTCTGAGTTGGAAGACTTTGAACAAAGACATCAATTCTCATAAAATATGGACTAATTATGGCCAAAATATTGTACACCCGCAAGAGAACTTCAGGATTCCTTGGTAAAGGGTTTTGGTTCATGACTGGATCCCTGTCTTTGAAATCTCATAGCTAAACTATTGCACCAGGAGTGCTACCTCCCCTCTGATTTTGATGGTTTTCATGAGAGAACAATTCCAGAAACAAGAGCTAGGCTGATATGAGGAGGTGAAATTATCAGAGGTCATTTCGGGGGGGATCGCGGGGGATCGCAGTTCCCCCTGGTGAGGTACAGGGGCGGGGCACATGACAAAGCCCCGCCCCTGCTTCCGGCCGCCCCGCTTCCGGCCCTCATTCAGCCAGGAGGAGGCAGGAGAAGAGGGAGGGTAAGTTGCTTCCTCCCTGCCTCTCCCCACCCCTGCCTGCCTGGGGCCAGGGAGGGCCTTCGCGGGGCTTCCTTGCACTCCCGCCGGCCTTGCAGGTCCACCGCCGGGCCCCTCATGGGGCTCGGCAGGGGAGCGTCAAGGTCGGCCGCAGCGGCCAGGACCGTTGGGGGTGGGGTGTGTGGCCTTATGACACACTTCCGGTGATGTCAGGGGGTGTGGCCTTATGCCACACTTCCGGTGATGTCAGAGGTTGTGGCATATGAAACTCTTGTTCTAATTTTGTTTAAACACCAAAATTAAAATCCTCAGCAGCCTGCCAAGCCCTTTCCTGCCAGATAAGAGAGGTAAGTCTGGTGTAGTGGTTAGGAGCGTCTGGGAGAACTGGGTTTGATTCCCCACTCCTCCACATGCAGCTGCTGGTGTGACCTTGGGTCAGTTACAAGTTCTTTCAGAGCTTTTCTCTCACAAGCAGTTCTTGAAAGAGCTCTCTCAGCCCCACCTACCTCACAGGGTGTCTGTTGTGGGGAGGGGAAGGGATAGGAGACTGTAAGCCACTCTGAGACTCTTTCGGGTAGTGAAGGGTGGGGTATAAATCCAATGTATTTTTCTTCTTCTTTAGATATTGAACATGTCAACTGGGCTAGGTTAAGAAAATGATGGGGCTATTATGGAGAAAGAAATGGGGGCCTTTTGGTAGAAATAATGTGCAAAGTGGCATCCTTCCAGAAGTCAGCACTCACATACATTTGATCATTTGTAGTCATGCGATGAATTAGCTCATGGAGGATTTTCCCTTATCTTGCTTAGGAAAGAGCAAGTCTTGGGCAGCAGAGCAGAGTATATAAATATATTTTAACTGTCCCCAGGCAGCTGCTTAGGTATGGGCCAGTTTTATTAGAGATAAGGGAAGAATGTGCATATGGAAACATATAGGAACAAGGAAAGTGTCATTAGTGCAGTGCATAGCTGGAACCTGCTGTCTTTTGGCACAAGCAACTAAAACCAGAGGCAATGTAAGTGTAGGCTGGTTTGCTATTACTTGAAAAAAAATGTTGGAAATCCAGTGAAGGAAATTTCGACAGTCATTACATAATTCAGATCTAGCTGCATGTCCTCTTTCAAAGTGTTCTACACCTTTATCCGGAGCAGTCCTATACCCATGAAGAAACATCGGGCTGCCAGCTCTGGGTTGGGAAATACATGGAGATTTTGGGGATGGAGCCTGAGGAGGGCGGAGTTTGAGGAAGGGAGAGAATTCAATGGGATATAATGCCAGAGAGTCCACCTTCCAAAGCCACTATTTTCTCCAGGTGAACTGATCTCTGTCGCCCGGAGATCAGCTGTAATCCTAGACGATCTACAGTGACAACTTGGATCTTGGCCACCTTAGAAGATAACCCATCAAGCAAGTGCCATTAGGTCCACAGAGGACTTGATAGTCCTTTTTTTTTTTTTTGCAAAGGACTGCTATAGTAGGGTGGAAGTGATAACTCAGGAACTTGCCAGGCCACGTGGCAAGTGTAGGGTTGCCAGCCCCCAGGTCCTGGCGGGGGTTACCCCGCTCCTGGGTGCTCTACTCTGCCCCTGGCCAGTTGGCCGGTGGGGGAAGCCCTGCCCAAGACCTGACCCCGAGTCACAGCCACCTGCGGCCCATCCCCTCTCCCTCCCTGCTAAAAGATTTAAAGGGCTTCAGCTGATCAGTGGGGAGCACGTGGCCCGCTGACCAGCTGGAGGGCCCTTTAAATCTTTTAGCAGGGAGGGAGAGAAGCTGTCGCCAGCCACAGCTCCACTGGCAAAACAACCCGCTTGCTATTCAGGCGCATGCACACCGTGGCCTCTGCCCCGCAGGCAAAAAGACCCTTTAGAAGGTCTTTTTACCAGCAGAGCTGTGGCCAGCGACAGCCCCCTCCCTCCCTGCTAAAATATTTAAAGGCCCCTCCAGCTGGTCAGCAGGCCACATACTCCCTGTTGATCAGCTGAAGCCCTTTAAATCCTTTAGCAGGGAGGGTGAGGGGTGGCTGTGGCTCAGGGGCAGGGCTTGGGGGTGCCCCTGCCCACCCTTGGAATGCCTCCAAATCCCCCCCCGTGGGATTGAGGAGGGGACCTGGCAACCCTAGGCAAATTGGCTGCATTTGGTTTAGTGGGACAAATGGTTCATAGGTCAGCTGTGGAGGACTCCTTACCTTTTATGATTTGTCGTGATGGTGGCTCACAAAGGCTTGGAATGTACTTAACTGAGGAAGGAACTCCGTTTCCTTGTTAGATGTAATACATACTAGACGAGTGCATCACAAACTATTTTTGCTGTTTCCATCACCTCACAAATCAAAAGAGTTTGATTTGAGCAAATTGTTCTTGCTGCCACCACTCTGTGGGCAAACTGCAGCATCTGAGCATGCGGAAAGTCTGGTGGCAGAAGCCCATTGAACAAAAGACCATTTGCTCTGTGGGAGCAAACTGCAAGACTTCAAAAGCCCTAAAGGAACAATGTAGCTAATTTCTTTGCCTTAAAAAGTACAAAATAAACTGTTAAAAATTGTTTCATGCCTATTCCCTTTATTGTATTAAAAAACAACAACAAAACCCCATTTCTTGGCCACTTTCCGATATCCTCCATTGCTTCAGGAAGTACATAAGAACATAAGAGATGCCAATGTTGGATCAGGCCAAAGGCCCATCCAGTCCAACACTCTGTATCACACAGTGGCCAGAAATACCAGTGCCATCAGGAGGTCCACCAGTGGGGCCAGGACATTAGAAGCCCTCCCACTGTTGACCCCCCCAAGCACCAAGATGACAGAGCATCACTTGCCCCAGAGTCCCTATCTATACCTTGTGGCTAATAGCCACTGATGGACCTCTGCTCCATATGCTTATCTAATTCCCTTTTGAAGCCGTCCATGCTTGTAGCCGCCACCACTTCCTGTGGCAGTGAATTCCAAATGTTAATCACTCTTTGGGTGAAGAAGTACTTCCTTTTATCCATTCTAACCCGACCGCTCAGCAATTTCATGGAGTGCCCACGAGTTCTTGTATTGTGAGAAAGGGAGAAAAGTACCTCTTTCTCTACCTGCTCTATCCCATGCATAATCTTATAAACCTCAATCATGTCACCCCTCAGTTGTCGTTTCTCCAAGCTAAAGAGCCCTAAGTGCCTTAACCTTTCCTCATAGGGAATGTGTTACTTGATCATTTTAGCAAACATATCAGATACCAAGGAGTACAGGCAGGAAACTTGCTCATGGTCCCTCCTCTGGTCACTTCTGAGTCTAGCTATGAGGGGACATCATGTACTGCTAACAACTTGTAAGCAGCTGTGGAGATGATTTACTCGCTGTTGTGTTTATCTTTTTCCAACCGCAGCAATAATGTGGGGCGTTAATTGGAGTTGGGCCATCTTCATCGCAATGAACCTTGTTGCTGTGCTGAACATAGAGGGTAAAAGTACTCCACCCCCCAAGCACACTAAGATCAAAGCCATTGAGATAGAAGCCACCGAAAGTCATGACACGTCTGTTGCCCCACCCACTGAAGATGGCCTTTTCACAGAAATAGCTGAAACGAGCGACACAACGACGGAGCTGTCCACGCCAAACTACGCCTTCAGAACTGCTACCACCCTCTTCCCATATGAGAACTTTACCCTTGATTCAGCTGACTTCTTCTTTAACTGTTGCGATTGCTGTACTCCAACGGCAGGGCAGAAAGGGGAGCCTGGAGAACCTGGCCTGCCAGGTAAGGAAGAGCAAAGCAAAAGCTTGCTGATGTTATAGTCTCATCAAAGAAGGATGATAATGGCATTTTGTTACTCATATATATCAAAGAACAATCAACCATTGAACAGTGTTTAATGGGGGTGGAGTTGACATCTACCGGGTGGAGCCTGGAGATGTTCCAGAATTACAACTGATCTCCAGACTACAGAGATCAGTTCCCCTGGAAAAAAATGGCTGCTTTGGAGGGTGGACTCCAGTGTTCCCTCTAAGCTGAGTTAGTGTGAGCTCTCACAGGTTTTTAGCCTCTGGCTCACACATTTTTGTCTTAGCTCAGGAAAGATGGCTCCAGAGCAAACTAATTTATGCAGTGGCCAAATCTCTCGCTCACAACTTTAATGCCAGTAGCTCACCAAGTAGAATTTTTGCTCACAGGAGTCCACATCTTAGAGGGAGCATTGGTGACATTATATCATATCCCCCTCCCCAAACTCCACCCTCCCAAGGCTCCACCCCCAAATCTTCAGGAATTTCCCAACCCAGGGTTGGCAACCCTGGGGAGGGGAAGAATCAAACAGCTCACCATTAATATAAAAGTTTTGCTTTTTTCATGAGTCAAGTATAAGAGGTGAGGAGGCCAAAAGCCCAGCCCCAAAGAATGGGAAAACGACACTTAGGGACTGTAGCAAAAGTCTCTCTGCCCCAACAATCTATTTTTAACTGGAATTCACGTGGAGTCTCCTGGGAGCCATTTTGGTGTCATAAAATGAAAATGTGTGTGTATACTTCTGTGTGGCTACCAAACAAGATGTAAAGTCAGTGTTTCCTTGCTGTCTGCCTGCAACTAGTATTCATAGGTATTCCTATATGTTATTCCTATATGTATGTATTTATTTATCTATTACACTTTAAACCTGCCCTGCTTCCAAGGAGGTTCTCTTCCCACCCCTTTTCATCCTAACAACAACTCCTGTGAGGTAGGTTAGGCTCTGAGATGGTGACCAGTGCAAGATCACACACCCAGTGAACCTCATGGTAACCAGCTGTGGCTTTATTTTTAATGGAATACATTGTTTCAGTTGATATCATTCCTCTGACTTAGTGGTTCCCTTCAATCCTGTGATGTAAGAATTCTGTCTTTCGATGCTTTAACACAGGGCTGAAAGGAGACACAGGAGAAAAAGGCCTTCCAGGTCTACCAGGAATTCCTGGACTACAAGGCCCCAAAGGATTCAAAGGAGAAAAAGGTATGGAGAGTGATAAAATGAGGAGGGACATTGATGTGGTGGGGAGGGATGGCCTTCTGGCGTTGCAGGCCTGTAGCTACAGCGGGGCATCTCGGGGCCTGGCCCCCTGACTTACCACCAAGGCCCCCCCACTTCCCATCCAGCTCAGGTGTTCCCTTGGGGTGCCTGTGTGGAGGGGTGTGTGTGGAGTGCTCCCTGACTTATTTAAAGGCCCTCCAAATTTAAAAATCCTCACTACGGGCCTGTGGCATTGTCCAGGCTCATTAGATCTTGGAAGCTAAGCAGGGTTGGTACTTGGATGGGAGACCACCAAGGAAGACTCTGCAGAGGAAGGTAATGGGAAACCACCTCTGCTTATCCCTTGCCTTGAAAGGCTCTTGCTGAGGTTGCCATAATTTGGTTGCGACTTGACAGCACTTATGTATGTAGTGATAAGGTGGGCACTTCAAAAAGGGATCTGGATTTGTTTTCCATAGCAGCCTTTCCCACAAAAAGACAGGAATCGTATAATAAATAATTTCTTAAAGCCACATTTCTATTGATACTACTCAGATCTAAACCTAGTTACAGCGCAGACTGGAAACTGGGTGCTTCCAGAGGTTTTAAATCTTTGGTTGCCAATTTTTTAAGCCATATGCCTTTTAATTTAAAAAAAACCTTACCTTTTCTTAAACATTTGACATGTTTAAATTTGGAAATATAATAAATCCACGATCAAGGTCCCTCATATTATGATGGCCTTACCAGCTGCTGTGGTGCAACTGGAAATTTGCGTCACTGCAGATGAAGGCACATCCTGGGCTGAGGACGGAGGTTTGCTGTCATCCACTAATAAGCTATGAAATAGCTGGAGGAAATCCTAGGCATGGTGGGCTGAATTCAGGGTTGCCTTAATGGAGCTACAGATCTCCATTAGAGGGCTGTTGGTGGAGATGTCCCATCTATTGGTTCCTTTCATCTTCATCACTTAAAGAAAGACAGGTTGCAGATTTGGGATAGCCATCTGGTAACCTCCCTATTAAGCATGCTATCCTCTAGAGCACATATGTGTGCCTGCCTGCCTGCGTACACACACACACATACACGCACGCATGCACACTTATGAACAAGAGATCAGAGTGATTATTTCTTACTGGATAACAGAGTGATGCTTTCTCACTCTTATAAGCCCTGTTTCACAGAGCCAGTTGTGGTGTAGTGGTTAAAGAATGGTGGACTCTAACCTGGAGAACTGGGTTTGATTCCCCACTCCTCCACATGCAGCCAGCTGGGTGACCTTGGGTCAGTTACAGTTCTCTCAGAGCTGTTCTATCAAGAGCAGTTCTCTCAGAGTTCTTTCAGCCCTGCCTACCTCACAGGGTGTCTGTTGTGGGGAGAGGAAGGGAAGGAGATTGTAAACTGCTCCGAGACTCCTTCGGGTAGTTTAGGGCAGGGTATAAAACCAACTTTTCCTCTTCTGTAAGCACTGGCAAGGTCTAAAGGAACATAAAAAGAAGAGTCCTTTGGTAGTTCCTCCATGCGCCCATATATTGCTGTGGATTACATGGCAATCTCACTCTCCCGCTTAGAGCCGATGAGCCCGGTGTTTCTAGCCTGTGGTAACTCCTCCACTGCCAGGTCTTGGAAACTATCAGAGGCTAGCCATAACTGTGGCCAGTTTACATGTCATCACCAGAAGTATCCTGCTTTGAAACTATGAACTGTAAAGTGTATGCAGTATGTGGATCAAGGTTTCCATGATTTTATGAGTACCCATATGAAGAATCTGAAGTGGTATGGAGAAAATCCAAGAAACAATTCTATGGCTGTAATCATATCTAAGATTGAAAATGTACATTAAGATGCTATGTGCTATATTTGTTGCTAGTCAAAAATTGCAAGTCTAGATGCTAGTTTTGCCTGTACAATGAAGTTTAAAAAAACTATTCAAGCATTCAGCTTTCTTTCTCTCTAGTCATTGGAAGCCCATGATTGTGTATATGTATGTAGCATGGCTCCAAGAAGCTAATTTAAATTAAAAGATGTCAGGATGTTGGAATCAGAAAATCAGCTTGGAGTTCCTATTTGAAAGTATTGTTTATGCATGCACTCCCTACGCATACATGAACACACATTCTATATTATCATTTCCTATAAATGATGTAATTACAAACTCTGCAAGTTAAAGAGTTTATAGCTTCTGCTGTCATTATGAACCAACTTGGTGGTAGCCAAGAAAGGGGGAAAAAAGTGTTCTTTGTAGCTCCATGAAAAAACTCCAGTTAACTAGCTCTGTTATTCATCGCCCATAAGGCAATTGTTGCATTCATGGAAGAGACATCTAAAATTTTCATATCTGATTTAACCAAAGGAAAAGTGTGGTATAAGTCACATAAGACATAGTAGTGTCACAAAAAAACATTAATAACAAAAGATATTATGGTGAAAATGTCTTAGGAGATAAAGGAGAGTATGGTGACCCAGGAGCAAACGGAACCCCAGGATTTCCAGGCAAACCAGGAGAACAAGGTATGTCATCTATCATCTGAGGGAAGTTAATGAGATGGGACTATCCACAAAATATATCACAATCTAATGCTCTTATTTTGCCTCATTGTCATCTTGTCTAATCAATTGCCAAATACCCCAAATAATGCTATTAAAATCTTAGATACTAAAACTCACCACTTCAAGAATATATCCAAACCAAATTTCAATGTAGAAAAAGAGGACCCAGAAGGACTTGTGTGTGGGGGGTATCTCATTCCCCATGTGTCCTCTCCTCCAACTGTTTCCTCTCTCTCAGCAGACCCCATAATTTCTTCCCTTTTCCTGCTTCCTTGTCTCTTTCCCACCCACTCACCCACCTACCTTTATCTGTCTACCCCATTTGTCAGCTTTCCCTTCTTCCCTCCCCCTGGCATTCTTTCTCAGGAAAAGGCTGACCAGTTGTAAAAGTTGTGTGGTAGTGAGTCACTCAGGTGAGTTGTGTGGTGGCCTGGAAGAGTTATGCAAGTTGCACAGTAGCAAGTGGCCACTGGTAGGCCTGGCCAAGTTGCTTAGCACTGAATTGACTGGGGGAAACATGTATTTTATATTATTCATATAAAATTGTTTATAAATCTGATTTAGATATTGTCCGATCCTCCACGCATTCAGATGAACCCACGTGTATAAAGTAGTAGTGTTTATTAAAGCAATGAAGAAGCTGGAACAACAGGAGTGTTTAGAATGGCCCAATAGTGCAGGGCACAAGATAATAAACAGATTCATACAACGACATAACCAATCAATATGGTTCCCGCTTTCACGGGTCTGTTAAACCTCGCGCCGAAAAGCCTGGGAGCCCAACGGCCAGAAACAGATAAACAATTATTTCATTCCCATGCGCTAGCTCATTATAGATAACAGCAAAAGACACCACTCCGCACCTGTTAACCTTGGAAGATAATACGTTACAAAGCATACTACTAGCGTTCATAGAATGGAATGTCGGCATCAAGCAATAGCAGGGGGAAGAAAGGCTGGCATCAAGAGAGTATACAAATGTTACACAGAACTCTTTGGCAGCTAGCTGACAGATATATAGTTTGTAGTGGTGTGTTTCAGCATCTGTGTTTATGCTTTTGAATCCTTTTGTTCCTGTGTGATTATTATAATACATATTGCTATATCTTCCTCACGTATTTTTAAAATGCCTTTTTAAATATCTATAATGTGTAAGTGCAGAACTGGAGAAAGTGCAGGGCACAGAGAAAAAGAGGCACAGACAGCACCCAGGAGACGGAGAAAACACAGCTAGGGAACAGAGTACAGTGGATGCAATCAAACTGGAAGAGAAAAGCAAGGAAACATTTCTATTACACATGGTTAACAATATGCTAAAACAATGTACTGGGAAAGTAAAAAAATGACATAGTAATCCTTCCTCACTGGTGACAAATTGCCACCACTTTACTGGTCTTTCTGTGTGCAACCTAAGCACAGTTACATCACTCTAAATCCATATAAGGCATTGGGCTTAGAAGGCTGTATCTCTGCTTAAGATAGCACTGTAAATGGAGCATCAGGAGGTGTCTTGGTGCCATTTTGCCAGGGGGAATGAGAAGCATGCAATTTCCACCTCTGCATTTAATTAGTTCTTTACATTGCACTGGACTCCCCAACATTTAAGTACGGTTCACGCCATCACTGGAACATCTTGATGTACAGGAGTTTCTCACCATGTGCCCCTTTGCCATATGTGACATGAGGGCTTCATGTTTATAGCAGTACATACATCGGTCTCACATTTTCCAGGAAGATATTGGCAGGGTGTCCTGTCTGAACTAAGGTCTGTAGAGTCAAGGCAGCATCTCAGCCAACTGCTGGGCCAAGGGGGAGCAGAAATCACTGAGGCTGGATTCACCAGGGCAAGGAGTTTAGATGTTGTTCCAGCAAAGACTGAGGGTGGACTGAGGTCTTAAGAACTCCTGCAGTGAAGTGGAAATACAAGATATGCCTCCCAGGAACAGACCACAGAGTTGCTTGAAGTTTACTTCTCCTTGTGACCTTGTGTATTTCTTTCTTTGACATTTTTTTTAGGTGAAACTGGACTTAAAGGTGACAAAGGAAACTATGGCCTGCCTGGAGCGAAGGGTCAAAAGGGTTCCAAGGGGGACACATGTGAGAATGGCACCAAAGGAGAGAAAGGAGACAAGGGGGAGCTGGGATTGCCAGGGATTGATGGAGAACATGGAGAAAAAGGAGAGAAGGGGGATGTTGGCGAGAAGGGTTACTGTGGAGATCCTGGCGAAAAGGGCGATAAAGGAGAAAGAGGGGAAATTGGGCTTAAAGGGGAGAAGGGCATCAAGGGAGACATGGGAGTAGAAGGCATGCATGGAGCAGATGGGCCAAGAGGAGAAAAGGGTGACCCAGGTGTCAGGGGTGAAAAAGGTGATCCTGGCCCAACTGGGATGATGGGACCTCCTGGGATGAAAGGATTTCCTGGTTTCAAAGGAACCCGAGGACCTCCAGGAAAGAAAGGTGCAAGAGGGCCCAAAGGTCCAAAGGGGGAGGCTTCAAACATCCCAAGATCAGCTTTCAGTGTGGGTTTATCCAAACCTTTCCCGCCCCCTAACACTCCTATTAAATTTGACAAGTTTCTGTATAATGACCAGGAGAGTTATAATCCTTTGACTGGGAAATTCAACTGCAGCATTGCTGGGGCGTATGTCTTCTCTTACCATATGACTATCAGAGGGCGGCCTGCTCGGATTAGTATTGTGGCCCAAAACAAGAAGATGGTCAAAACGCGGGAGACTCTGTATGGTCAGGAGATAGACCAGGCTTCATTCCTTACAATTTTGAAATTAAATGTGGGGGATCAGGTTTGGCTGGAGGTTACGCGGGACTGGAATGGGGTTTATGTTAGTGCGGAAGATGACAGCATATTCTCTGGCTTCCTTTTGTATCCAGACGACGTTTCTGAAACCCTATTATAAGTGTGGCTTTAAGAGAACTATGAAGAAGAAAAAATCCCTCCTCTGTTGTTATTTTAGATAAATGTATTTCATAATCCATATCCTAGTTCGTATATTTATATGTATAATGAAATACATTCATTGACAGAAGCACCCTAAATATGGGGCACATACCATGAGGTAATAATTTTCATGGACACTTAGGAGAATATCACAAAAATGACATTCTCTTGAAAGAGATTTTTTTTTTTGCATTTTAGTTCTGTGGTAGCTAATTATGTAATTGAAATAACTTCATTATATCACTTTAGTTTTCAATTAATGCAGGCATAGTCCAGTCTCACATATGTTTCCCCCACTTTGGACTTAACGTCAATATTCTAGAATCTGAAAAAGGGTTGTAGAATTTTACCCAGAATCAAATACACTGAATATCTAAAAATATCCTTTGATCATTTCTTCCAATCATGTGAACAGATTTTAAGAATGTTTGCTGCTCAGTCCAGCATAAAATGATAATATAACGTTTGATATAGAGACTGAAGACATAATCAATGTGTAAAAAACACTTAACCGTGTATCAAACGACTGTTGTGCTTAAATAAATCAAATGCATTTGGAACTCTATATAATAAAGATGACTGCTTGACTGAAAGTGTTTTATTCCCTTTATGTGACATGTAGAAATGAAACAACTTGTTAACAAATTGAATGATCAAGTGATACAAAAACAAATGATGAATATGAGAATGAGCCCTTATTTATGACCTGGGTGGCATGAACAATTGTAATTCTTGACAGAAGATACATTACGAGAAAAGTGGCCAATGCCTGATCTACAGCATTAAGTCCCATTTTTTATTTAGCCCTCCCCAGTTCATGTTGTGCACCTTTTCTTCCAGGCTTAGACCCTCTCTGATTGGACTACCAATCTTTTTAAAGACCTTCCTTTTGAATTCGTCTGACTTGCTTGAGTTTCATAACCTCATCAGCCAAGGATGAATGGCCTTTTGTCAATGTCACCCTCGTCCTTACCTTTTTCACTGCAGCTCCAGCTACTGGTAAGATAAGGAGGAGGAGGAGGAGGATTAGAGGAGAATGACAGCAAAGGAAGGTTGCCCACCTCCTGATCCATCATTTTCCCCACCAATTCTGTGTGTTCATGCAAATCTGGGTGGAAACGATGGTTGGATGGAGAGGTGAAGGGTCTCACTTTGCCTCTTCTCCCTTCTCATCTTCACCATACCATGCTTAGTATGGTGATTCCCAATGTGACACTCATGGGTACCTTGATGAAGTAGAATGTGCCGTCAAGTCACAACTGACTCACGGTGATCCAAACCACAGGGTGTTCAAGGCAAGAGATAAGTAGAGGTGGTTTGCCATTGCTTTCCTCTGCAGAGCAACCCCAGTCTTCCTTGGTGGCCTCCCATCAAAGTACTGACCATGGCCAATCCTGCTTCTATCTCAAGTTCTGACAAGCTCCAGCCAATATAAGAACATAAGAGAAGCCATGTTGGATCAGGGCAGTGGCCAAACCCAGGTGCCATCAGGAGGTCCATCAGAAGGGACAGAACTCCAGAAGAAATATATAAGTCCTGGTGTCTACGTCCATCTTTCCCCAAACAGCTCTCCTCAAAACAAAGCCAATCCAATATTTTGTCTCCTCACCAGAGCAGGATGTGTTTTAAAAGGCCACGGTAAGCATCTTCCACGAGCAGCTCCTCATCTGTGCTCAGAGCAGGGGTTGATGGAGCAAGTGGTTCTGCCATTGTTTCTAGCGGCTCGTTTAGCCTCTCTTCAGGAGTGGTGTGTTCATGGGTAATATCAAGTAATATTGTTTCCTTTCAGCAAAGTTCTCCTGCTAGCCTGATCTGCTAACACTACGCTGGGACCAAGGCTGCCTGCACAGACAGAGACTTTGACGGCTGCAGCTGCTGTAATAAGTTGCTTGATGCAGCAGTCCACCCTCAGCAGTGTGCTTTTTCAAAGGGCTGTACCATTTGTCACTGCCATTAACCTACAGCTCAGTAAGACATCCCAGCTCAGTAGAGCTTTCTTTCATCTCCTCTCATGGGTGCAAAACAAAAGGAATGTTTACCAGTAGAGCTAAGCTGGCAGGTAACCAGCAGCTTCTGGTACTCAGGCCTGTTTGAGAGGAAAACAAAAGTACTTCAATGAAAACACAGTGACTTCATGAAAAATTCAGGATATCACAACTTCACTTTAGAACTTTCCTCTGAAAGGAGCATCATATTTTCTTGTTTATAAAAGCCACAGTGTTTGCTAGAACAACAGGTAAACATGGTCAGTAGTAGGCGCACAATAATATTTGAAGGAGGGGCAAAACTTTTCATCAGATTTGCTGTCCTCTTTTACAAGAACATAAGAACATAAGAGAAGCCCATGTTGGATCAGGCCAATGGCCCATCCAGTCCAACACTCTGTCACACAGTGGCCAAAAATACCAGGTGCCATCAGGAGGTCCACCAGTGGGGCCAGGACACTAGAAGCCCTCCCACTGTTGCCGCCCCCCCCCCCAAGCACCAAGAATACAGAAAATTACTTGCTCCAGCCTGAGAGTTCCTATCTATACCTTGTGGCTAATAGCCACTGATGGACTCTCTAGCATAGCATCATAACAAGCAGCTTTGCTGTAAGCACTGTGGGGGTGAGCCATGGCATGTTGATTCCCCCTCTCACCTACAGAAATCCAGACATATCAGTTGCGGGTGTGAGAAAGGACAACAGTTTAATTTCAACCAGTGTTCACACCTTCGCACCACCTGTGGTTTGTATCACCAAAGCCTCTGAACTTGGCCGGTCCCTTTCCCCTACTGTCCCTCCCTTGTTTTCTCTTTCTCCTTCCCAAGCACCTCCTCTCAGCCCCTCTCCAACTCCTTCTCTCTTCTCTCTTTCCTCTGACCTTGCCTCTGGCTCTACCCCCTGATCCTCTCAGCATTCCTTCTCCTAGGGTTGCCAGCTTCCAGGTGGGACCTGGGGATCCCCTGGAATTACGGCTCATCTCCAGACTACGGAGACCAGTTTCCCAGGAGTAAAGGGATGCTTTGGAGGGTGGACTCTATGGCATTGGACCCCACCAAGGTCCCTGTCCTCCCCAGGCCCCACCCCCAAATTCCCGAGAGTTTCCCAACCTGGATCTGGCAGACTCACCGGTGGCCAGAGAGGACCTGGCAACCTTACAATTCTTCCTTGCTACCCCATGCAGACCCCTTTTCTGGCTTTCCTCTTCTCCATGTCTAATCCCATGCCCCTTTGTCCTGTCCAATTAGAGTCCTTGACCTCCTTTGCAGCCATACCTTCCGCAGAGCCTCTGGACTCTCTCAGCTTGGAAGAAGTCACTTCCAGTGTCAGTTCATGGCCCACCATCTCTGCTGCAGCAAGGCCATATGACCGACCTTCCCAAACAGCTGATGAGTGGGCATGAGCCAGTGATGCTGCCTGCCCTTCTTCCTTGCCACTGAACTGTGAACCTTCCACAATTCTTGGTGTTATCTGTGTGGCTTCTGGAGGGGCTGGGGTGGCAATTGGTTGCTTGAGTTTCCATTTGCTTGGAAGCCATTGGAACTGCAGAAACATATCATTGTAGCTTGTGGCTGTTTTTGCTCAGTCTGAGAACTCTAGTAATTGAGATAATTTAGGAGAAGCACATATTCCTCAGGGTCATGTTCAGGTAATTAAAATGACTTGCCTTCTATTGTAAAGTACCAAATTGCTTGTAGTTTGTACTTTCTTTGCACTTCCCCATTCATTTGCATCCTTTAAATAACCAACATCAACCTGCATTGCCTGATTTTTGTGCCTGCACTGTTAAATGACATCTGCTCAAGTAATGACCGATTGCAAAATTAGCTAGCTTTATGGGCAGACCCCCAAAGACACACAGAGGCACCTGTGTAGTAAGTCTAAACTAAAAAATTTCAAATGGATGTAGAAATTGAAGACAGCAATATCATCAGCAGTACGATGGAGAAGTGAGGTGATGGCTGTAAGAAAGCAGTGTAAACGTGTGAGAAAGCACCATTATCATGCAAACTGCATGTATCTAAATTCACTCGGATACAAATGAACACAGAGATGAACTAAGATGTCCTTGTGGATGCATATGAGTTTCTTTTTATTTCGTCTGATTTTTATCCTGTTCCTTCCCTGGCAATGGGGGCTCAGGATGATTAACAACATAAAATCAAAACATAAATAAAAATACAAATATTCTATAAAACCATTTAACACACTGGCACTCTGGTGTGATGATTGGAGAAGAAGAAGAAGAAGAAGAAGAAGAAGAAGAAGAAGAAGAAGAAGAAGAAGAAGAAGAAGAAGAAGAGATTGGATTTATACCCCACCCTTCACTTGGAGTCTCAGAGCGGCTTACAAACTCCTTTCCCTCCCCCTCCCCACAACAGACACCCTGTGAGGTGGGTGGGGCTGAGAGAACTCTGACACAAACTGCTCTTTTTCAAGGACAGCTGTGCCAGAGCTTGTGACTGACCCAAGGTCACATCAGCAGGTGCAAGTGGAGGAGTGGGGAATCAAACCCGGTTCTCCCAGATTAGAGTCTGCACACTTAACCACTACACCAAACTGGCTCTCTCTGATAGTAGGCCCAGTAAGATTGCCTCAACGGAATGCCTGGAGTAATAATTCCATTTTATAGGCCCTGAGGAACCTAGACAGGTCCCACAGGGCACGAGTCTCCTCAGACAGATCATTCCACCAGGTTGGGGCCACAATCAAAAAAGCCCTTGTTGCATTCGAAGTTAAATGAGCTACCTGAGAGCCCGGCACCACCAGAATTCCTCTTGGAAGTGGAGCGCAAGCACCTTAAGGGGTCTTAACAGGAGAGGTTGTCCTTAAGGTATGATGGTCTCAGTTTATGTGCGCCTCAGAATCCCTGCAGCAAATGTCCGAGGTACATAATGGGACGCAAAACTGCAAAAGTATTTCCACAGCCACGATCATCATAACTTTTTGTTTTATTTTGAAATGCAAGCCTACAA